TGGGGCCGTTCTCTGCAGCGCGAGGGGCTCGTCTCACAGCCGAGGGAGCTAGAGGCCGCCAAGTCCGGGGGGGGGGCAGGACGCCGGGGCACCCGGAGGAGAGTGCCGCCATGGCCGGCCCGGGCGGGCAGTGAGCTGCAGGCAGCGCTCTAGCAGGGGTTTCCTAGCCAGCACCAAAGTTTCCTCTTCACCGTCCCTCAGGCCGGGGTGTGCCGCTCCCCCCCCCCCCCGCTTTAAGCCATCCTCACAACTGCGGCACCTCCCTCCCCCGCTGTGCGCTGCGAGTCCCCTGGAGCCGCGGTCCGCCGAGGCGCCCGTCGTGGCTGGCCTCCGGCTGTCGCTCCCGGCGGCCTCCCAGTAGCCGTGCCGAGAAACGGCCGCGGCTCGGCGGGGTGCGCTCGGCCCCCGCTCGGTTGTTAGCCGTCTGTGCCCTGCGCCGCAGAGGAGAGCCCCGCTGGGGCAGTAAGGTCCCCGTGGGAGGCCGTTAGAAGCCGAGCGCTGAGCCGCCGCGACCCTTCTCTCGTCTGGTGGCGAAGCGGTTAAATTTCAGCAGCGCCGCGGCGGGGCGCAGCCGCCCGTCCGACAACGCAGGCGTTTTGGGTCCTGCCGCACGCCGTCACGCAGTTCCCGCCTCAGCGGCGCGCGGCCTGTTTCAAAGCGGGAGCCATGGCCGAGCAGGGCCTGGAGATGGCCTCCATGATCCCGGCGCTGCGGGAGCTGGCCAGGTAGGACGGGGCCAGCCTCCGCCTCGTGGAGGGGGGGAGTTGCGCTGCGCTGCAGGAAGCGCGCCCGGCCTCGGCGCCAGAGCGTGGCGTGGGGAGGTGGAAAAGTAGGTTCCTTCGCCGCCGCTCTGCGAGGTTTTCCGGGGCTGGGCCTGCGCCCTCCCCTCATCCTGGTCGCCTTCGCCCGCCGCCACCTGCCTGGGTTGCTCCCTCCCTCACGGGTGGTGCTGGTAGAACCTGACAGGAGAGGCGTGTTGGCCTGCATAGGACCCAGCGTCCTGGGGACTTCGTTGTGTTTGCAGTGTCACTTCACTGAGAACTAAACGACCTTGAAAATGGTTGGCTCTAAAGTTTTAATGGCAGCATTAAGACTGCAGTTTTGTTTTGTGGTAGGAAGCTAGTCGACGTGGAGGTACAATAGTATGTTGAAGATTCGACCTGATAAGAGCTAGTTGCCATCTTAGTCACCTGAGCGGTTGCTATTGATACTTCTTACCCAGGGTGTTGGTAGCTAATCAGTTGAATAATTCTGGTTAATTCCAAAAGTGAAATGGGGTTCTTAATTTTTTTTTTTTTTTATGCGCTGAAGCTGGTTTGTTGCTTGGTGGTAGCATGCGGATAAATCCCTTTGTCTGCCAGGTGTGAATTTAATATATACCAAACATAATTGCATAAAAAAATTAAATGATCTTCAGCACTTTGTCAAACTTTGTACTTCCAAAAAATAAGGAGAAAGAGGAACATGCAAGAGGCTGGTCACTAAAACAAGGAATCAATTTGTACTTCTTTTTGAAGGCATCTAAAAGAAAAAAAAAAGTTTAACATTGTGTTGTTGAGATAGACTTCAAATAATTATTTTGTATTTTAAAATGGATAATTTCAAAATAATGTACTTTTAATTTTAGTGCCAGTCCAGAAGACTACAATACCGTTGTGCAGAAACCAAGACAAATACTCTGCCAGTTCATTGACAGAATTCTTACAGATGTAGATGTTGGTAGGTATTACATCCCTATCTTTTAAAATTATTATCTGCTTTATGCTTTAAGTAACTTCTACCAAAAAAAAAGTTACAACTCTCATTTCAACAAAGATCTAGTAGTTGAATGTAATACCACTTATGACTTATTTTTTAATAACTTCCCTGATGAAGTATTTGCTATTATGATGTGAAGTAACCTAAGTAAAAAAAAAAAAAAAAAAAAAGGGGGGGGGAAATGCAGTGCAGGGTTCTATGAACATAAATGCTCTCAACATCGAAAATCAGGACTATCATGTAATGTGATTGTTCATTGAGTAATATAGCTTGCAAGTCTTAATACTCACAGGGTCCTTCAGAATTGAAATACTTTGATATAAATGGCTTTATTTTTAATTTTAGAATTCTAACAAAGCCTTATTTCAGTTCTCCTTAAATCATGTTAAGGTTTCAATTATTACACTACTTTAAAATATTTTGGTAAATATGAAATACATATACTAAAATATTATCACTTGTAGTTATCTGTACGTTAGCATCAAGGAGAATCACAGTGAGGGTAACAGTGTTTCCAACGTATAATTTCATGTAGCTATGTCCTGGTTTCAGCTGGGACAGAGTTAACTTTCTTTCTAGTAGCTAGTATGGTGTTGTGTTTTGGGTTCAATATGAGAAGAATGTTGATAACACACTGATGTTTTCAGTTGTTGCTAAGTAGTGTTTAGTCTGAAGTCAAGGATTTTTCAGCTTCTGATGCCCAGCCAGCAAGAAGGCTGGAGGGGCACAAGAAGTTGGGAGGGGACACAGCCAGGGCAGCTGACCCGAACTGGCCAAAGGGGTATTCCATACCATGTGATGTCATGCCCAGTATATAAACTGGGGGGAGTTGGCCTGGGTGGGGGGTTGCTGCTCAGGAACCGACTGGGCATTGGTCAGTGAGTGGTGAGCGATTGCATTGTACATCACTTGTACATTCCAGTCCTATTGTTATTATCATTATTATTGGTTTTGTTGTTGTCATTTTATTATTATTATTATCATTATTAGTTTCTTCCTTTCTGTCCTGTTAAACTGTTCTTAACTCACGAGTTTTACTTTTTTTTTTTTTTCCGATTCTCTCCCCTATCCCACTGGGTGGGGGGGAAGTGAGTGAGCGGCTGTGTGGTGCTTATTTACCAGCTGGGGTTAAACCATGACAAGCTGTCTCAGTAAGACTGATATTTTGTCTAGTGAATTGATCAATTTAAGTATCATACTCATGTTACTGTATAGATGATGTGTTTGTTAATTGTCTTGTAACCCTGAAAGGGAGGGCTATAAAAATAAAAACAAAAAGCCAATCTGCTTCAGATACTGCTTTTGAATACATAAGTGTTGTATTTTATTGTTGCCATGTAACTTTTCTGGTTAATTGCTATCTGAATCTGCAATAGTTTTCTTCTTGTGCTAACTAACCGTGTGGAATTTGGATAAATCTGATGTGATTCAGATACCTGTTTCAATGGAGCTGTACAGCAGCATTAGATGTGTTTAGTATTTTGCTATAACTTTCTGATCCAGTAAGCTGAACTTACCATTTAAAAACTTCTATTTCTTGGAGATTTAGAACAATTCTTAGAGGTTTTTTTCTACCAAGATCATAAGCCTAGGGAAAATTGTGTCATTAAAAATTAAAATGTTAACGATTTGCTATTCTTCAGTAATCAAACAGTTGGATATAATACTGACTAAATGTTAATGCGTGTAGAGTTACTGAATAATATTTAAGCTGAGTAATTTATGGTTTTTTTCATACAGTTTGATGTCACATAATGGGTTTACAATATGCACAAAATCATCTTCATGGATTAGTAAAGCACACTCCCGATTGATAATTATACAGGTTTAATACTGTATCATAGTATTTTATATAAAAAATTTCTTCTTTCTCTTTAGGTGTGAAGAAAATTTGTGAAGTTGATTTATTGCAATGCTAATTCAGAAATGTGTCTCTTTTTTCTTTTTTTTTTTTTTTAAAGTTGCTTTGGAACTGATTAAGAAATCAGATTCACAGCCAAGTTCTGTAATGTTGCTTGATTTTATTCAACATATCATGAAATCTTCCCCGCTTATGTTTGTAAATGTGGATGGAAATCAGGAGGAAACCGAATGCAGTTGCATTGGTGAGTTTGTTGAAAATGTTTATGTTGAAACTTGATATTTTCAGGATTTAAATTTTCTGACAATGGGATCATATAAAAGAACAAAAATCAGAAAAAGGCAGATTCGTAAGTTCAGTGTTACATAGTTATAAGTAAGTAAGTATTATGATAGACTTTTAATGTTGTGAGTTGATTTGCACTTGTGGTAACAGAACTTTATCAGGACAGAGTTTAACCTTATTCATTACCATTGCTTAGTGGTATTACCCTGTTCGTGTTGATGAGATATCTTATACAAATATGCATTGCCTGAGGGTTTTTTGGGCAGAGGAAAATGCCTGGAACTACCCAGTGTAAAATGTCTGTCCCCTGTCCCCCCCCCCCCCCCCAGTGAAGGGTCTTTGTTTACTAAGCCTACATGTATTTATCTCAAGGAGTTTTCTTCTGTTTTACTGATGAGCAACCTGCTCTCAAGGAGGTGCTCATAATAGGAGGTTTTGGTTGTTATCTTAATAATTTTCTGTTTGCTGTTTCTTTTTTATTGTCCTAGAATTTAGTAACTGGATCATAACAAGGCTTCTCCGAATTGCTGCAACTCCAAACTGCAACATGCTGCACAAGAACATTTGTGACGTCATTTGCTCTTTACTTTTTCTGTTTAAAATGAAGAGCTGCTCCATTTTTGAAGTACTAACAAGAGACTTGCTACAGCTTTTCCAAGACTTAATCTTCCTGCATGAAAGAGATGCGCAAAAGCATCTCTGGGGAGATGGACTGGTCTGGCCAGTGACTGTAAAGAGGTTTTCAAGCAATACAAGTGACAATGTGGGGTATTTAAGATTGGCACCATTACAGCTGATGGGTATACCCAATGTAGAATGTTTGGAAGTTATATTAATGTCTATTCTGACAGATATTGTTGCAGATGTGTTTTTTGTACGACAAGATATTATTCTCTGGGGTATAGGCTGCTCCCTGTTGGAGTATGGCAGTCCAAAAGTTAAAGCTTTGGCAGTGAAGTTTTTAGTAAAATTAATTCATTTAGGAGGACCTCCAGAACAGCTGGCCAGTGTTTTCTTCACAGTCTTTTTTGGAATTCTACAGTCAGCACTTGAAATGGATACTGAAGAATCAGAACTCTTTGGAGAACCACTTTTACTGTTGGTGAGGACATTGTTGCCTTTTGAAGCAGATTCTTACAGAAATATTGAACCTGTCTACTTGAATATGCTATTAGAGAAGCTCTGTGCATTGTTTGAAGGTGATGTGTTTAGGAGTCTTCAGTCTGAAAAGCTGAAAGCTGCTTTTTGCCATATACTGCAATATTTTCTGGAGTTTGTTCCAACTGGCTATGAATCTGCCTTGCAAGTAAGAAAAGTCCATATCAGTACCATATGCAGAGTTTTTGTGAATGTGCTTGGAACTCAGGAAGAACAGGAGGTAGGTTAATTTTAGAAACTGTATTCATTGTGTGAATAGATTATGTACAAAAACCTCCATCTGTGGCAAGAAGAAAATCTAGGAAATACTATTTTTAGTTGCATAATTAGATTCATACTCCTTGTTTCTCAACTGTTTCACATATTTGTACAGGTCAGAGTTCTTTCATTAGTTGAATGTAGCTGGACCCTCTGTTTTTCAGATGTATTAAACTATTGAGAAGCTATGCAGGCATAAGGCTCTGTTGGTAATCATAGTATAAAACGGGGGTAAGGCACAGAGTATGCTCAGATAAGGGCAGCTTTACAAGTAATTTCCCTTCATCTGAACTGGTCTTACTTTCTAACCATATGCTTTTAGTCATATTTTGGGGGGACAGGCAGACAGAAAGGTTTGAAATAAAATAGAATCATAGAATGCTTTGGGTTGGAAGGGACCTTTAAAGGTCATCTATTCCAACCCCCTGCAATGAGCAGGGACATCTTCAACTAGATCAGGTTGCTCAGAGCCCTGTCCAACCTGACCCTGAATGTTTCCAAGGATGAGGCATCTACCACCTCTCTTTGGGCGGCCTGTTTCAGTGTTTCACCACCCTCATCGTAAAAAAATTCTTCCTTATGTCCAATCTAAATCTATCCTCTTTTAGTTTAAAACCATAGTGAGGTGTTAATAATGAGGTGTTGGTATGCTGAGTGTTCCCTTTACACCCACATGCGTATCCATTGTCTCTTAAACTTGGTGTGTCCGTCTTGATGGCTTTGGTAGCAAGGTATTATGGTGAGAATTGGTAAACAGCTGTACAAGCTGCATTCTGTCTGGTAGGAACACAGGAAACTTCTTTGCTTATGAGAGTTTTCGTCTTGTAATTAAGATTTTTGAACAGAAAGGTTTTTAAGAACTTTGTTACCACGTTATTTTGAAATTTTATATTTTAAGTCAGAAACAATAACGTCATGTCTGTCTTTGAGAAGTAAAGCATAGCACACATCATGGTACCTCTGTCGTTTGTCCATCCCAGTATCTGGTGAGCCCACTTTATACAGCATTAAAAATACAAATGGAAGAAATCTTTCAGGAGCTTCATCAGAACCAGCTAGATACTTCCGATACTGATGGGTGGAGCAGCAGCGGTGATGAAGTTCCAGAGAAAAGACGACGACTAAGCCTGCCAACAAAGCATCCAAAGAAATCACCTGCACCAGTAATGTATGACACTTACTCAATAACTACTTTTATAGTAATGTGGCTAGTAAATAATAACAAATGACAACTTTTTTGAGCCAGTTTCTTCGTAACAGCCACATTGAAAGATCTTCTGGGAAAAGATCTAAATGATATTTTGAAGCATCAAAATCTACAGATGTTTTTTAAGCCAAACTTTAGTGAATTATTTTCATTTTTACATACTGAAAACGGAAAAGTTGGGAGAATACATACAGAATGACAGAATCATGTATGTGGCTATGCTGTTGCACTGTATGTGCTTAAAGTGGGTCTAGTTAAGTCAGGTTGTTCTCTGATGAACAAAGCCAGTTCTCTCAGCCTTTGCTTGTGCTGTGCTTTAGCTCCGTGATTATCTTGGACTTGCTCCAGCATGTTGATCTCTTTCTTGTATTTGGGTACTCAAAACTGGCTCCAGGATGCTGTACTCCAGGTGTGGGCTCAAGATTAGTCTTCACTCTTGATAATACAGCCCAGTACATAGTTGACCTTCTTTGCAACAAGGTCACACTGCTCTTATATTCAACTTTTCTGCAAGTCCACCGGGTCATTTTCTCCAAAGCTGCTTGCTAGCTAGTCAGCCCTGAGCCTGTTCTGTTGCACGGGGTTTTTTGTGCCAGTTGCAGGACTTTTCATATGTCTCTGACCTCCATGAGGTTCTTGTCAGCCTAGTTTTCCAGCCAGTTGAGGTCCTCCAAATAAGTAGCTCTTCTTTTATCTGCAGAGCTACGTGCCTCATTGTAGAAAGGAATCAAGTTAGTCTGGCATGATTTGCCCTTAGTAAATACGTGCTGACTGTTCCCAGTCACCTTCTTGTCCCTTATGTGGCTAGAAATGAGTTCAAAGAATTTTTCCATAACCTTCCCAGGGACTGAGGTTAGACTGGCAGGCCTTTAGTTTTTTGGATCCTCTTTTTTGCCTTTTTTGAAGGTGGGTGAAACGTTTGTCTTTTTATATAGTCATCAGGAACCACCCTCATCTCCATGACCTTCCAAGGACTGTAGAGCTATACCTTTATAGCCTTTCAGTAAGTCTAATTTGCATCATACTTAACTTCAGAGGTAGTATCTTGTTCTCCCAAAGAGCACATTTAAGCTAAAGCTTCATTTAGTATTTTCTTAATCCTGTATCCAACATGGATTAGCTCTGGTTTTGCTATGATGATTTATCTTTTCTGAAAAAAGTATGTGGTGGAAAATAATTAATATGGTCAAATTACAGTCTCAGTCCTGTAAACATGAAATTGAAGAGTCCTCTATGGAATGCCATCACAAAGAAAGCTGCATCCTTAATGTTTATCCTTGAGAGAGAAATTCTGACAGCGGATATTCTTCAGACTGTAGAAGGGTTTGCTGTAATTCTGCGACTAGCTGCTTTGTGCATAGTTCATTGTTCTCCCTCAACAAATTCTACCAGGTAAAGTACCAAGGTGAAACTGTGAGACCAGTAATTTCTCCTAACTGTTCTTATGATTTGTGTAGATTAATGCTTGTCCATGTTATCAGGCCAAGTATTGGTTAAGTCCTGTATGTTTTGAAGTAGTACACTTTCATAGTAACTTTGCCTACAAGCAATACAATATTAAATGTTATAGTATGTTGCATTGATCATATGATTTCTGTTTTAACAGTATATATCATAAAGTAGCTCATCTGTGTAACTCTGACACATGTAAGAATACTCCGAGCTCCTCAGATTCAGTGGTGAATATACAGTTCACATGGATTTCCTCTGATTTTATCACAAGAGTAGTGAAAGTCTGCAGAAACCTGTTAGAGGCTGCTACGCAGATTGTTAACCTAGAACAAGTGATTGACAGAATAGTGAAAATCTTTGATGCTTTGCTGTATGCACAAGGTGAGAAATCCTTTAAACTAGCATGTCTTTTATTGTGTTTGTAAATTAGGAATGCATCTGACTAAATTGGTCTGTTGTGGTGGAGGTACTGAAATGATAGATCTTGTGTTAGAACTCCAATTCCTGTACAAAAAAGGTTAAATTAAAAAAAAGAGCATTCTTCTCTGTTTAGAGAGTTTGCTTTGTATTCCTCTTTGAACATGATTTGCTAGTCTTTGTCTGTACTTCTATTGATTTTTTTTTTTTTTATTTTTTTTATCTGAACAAGAGACAACATGGGGATAGTGAATATGCGTGAGAAAGAAAACTGCTAAAAGTTCGTTTCTTTTTAAAACACGCAGAGGTAGCATGCCTTACTATCTCTGTTCCACTCAAAGATTTCAAAGCTTCTGACCAACTTCAGCAAATGTGGCATGCAGGAAGTGTACCAAAAATATTAAGTACCTGTATATTTTCTTTAAAAGTAGCTGGTAGGATGGAGGACAGACTCTACTAAGACTAAAGTGTTATTTATTATGAGTTCAGCTTACTAGCCATCCCAAAGTCCACCAGAGAGTCTTCATATAAATCCAGAGATACCAAAGTTGTATTCATTCTGCTGTTCATGTGTTACATGCTGTCAACTGTTTAATGAAATTTTTAGATTATTTTGATGTAGCACTACATGATTTATTAACATATGTTTAAAATGTAGAATATCAACATGTGGGACTAGTGATACTAATCTTCGTTGATGGAAAAAAAAAACATTTTGTAGCAAATTAAGAACATAAAATGTACATCTGTTTTATAAACTATACAGAGCTGTAAAAGTATCAGTGTTTTGTCGTTTTGTTTTATTTTTTGCCCCCTAGTGAAAATTCCACTGAGTGATCAGATTCTTGATAACTTATGTGGATTGCTGTCTCTGCCCTGGATTTACAGCCATCCTGATGATTCTTCTTTTAAGCCATCTGCTTTTGGGTTTGATCCTCTAGTTTTGAGTCAAAAAACTGCACAGAGTTTCTGTAAGTATGTTAAAGTATGTAAAATCTAATATCTCTCTGGAATGATTGTTCTCAAGTAAAATTATTTTCTTTGCCCTCTAATGATGATTGATAATATTAAAAGTTTAAATCAAGTAATTATCTACTTTATTTTGTTTTTTCTCTTTAGCACCCCAAACTCAGTCACACTGTGTGTTCCTTCTGTCTCTCTTCCCAAGAAACATTAGTCTGGATTGGAGAAAATCCATTTATCATTGGGCACTACAAAGTCCCCATGAAGTAATTCGGGCTACTTGCGTTAAAGGATTCTCTCTCCTGCTTCATCCGCCAAGTGTGCAGTCCTGCAGTATGATTCCCAAAGCTCTTTTGTATGTATTAATGCAAGAAGAAAAATGGACAAATAAGAAATGTAGTACAAGCACAAAAATAAATATTTATTTCATCCAGAATTTGCTAGATCATAATTTCAGAAATCTTAAGATACCAACAGGATAGGTTTAAGTGATGATGTCTGTATGATAGAATAGTGTTTGCTTACCATGTCAGTGTACAAGTTACTTTGCTAGTTGAAGACCTCATTTCTAATTAACAAAGTTAAACTACAGAGGGGAAAGGAGGTATCTTTGTCAGTTAAATATATGTTATGTTTGTCCATATGTCTCTTAAAATCTTTGCAATTTCTCTGCCTTTTGTATATACAAATCTTGGTGTCTTCTGTCTTACTGTGTCTAGTCTTCAGTTTCTTTATAACATGCCAGACTCACCATGCCCAGTGCTACTTCAAACATTTAATAGAACTTGAGGGTAATCTGAAAAGGGAAAAATAATTTAGTGAGACAGATCTTTAAATTGTCCTAATAGTACTTTCAGTATAGTTAGAGAATTCAGACAATGTAGAAATACAAATTCTTAGGTAAATGATCTATTTTAAAGGTTTCATATTTGTTTCCATTTCAGAAATCAAATCAAAGATGAGTCTGAGCTAGTCAAGGAGGCTTGTGCTGCTATAGTTGGGAAATTATCTTGCTGTCTTTCTGGTACCTTCAGTGTACGACCTTCCTTAGCAGACTCTGCTATTAAGCATGTTACTTATGATATTTTGTGTAGCAGCCTTACTGTGAGTTCTGCTCATGAAAAAACTTGTTCCGTGCAAGCCTGTGTTTTCAAGCCATTTCTTATTCTCCTCGAGAACAAAGTATCCAGTTCAGTAAAGCTAGGTATGTGACTTTACCTTTATTAATGTTTTGCACTTCTGTATGAGGTACTAAGTCACTACTTATGTACCGTTCTCCATTCCTTTTTTTCCTATATTGTTTTTTTTTTATAGCTGCAACGGTGCTTGAAATGTCATATTTCAGTTGATATCACTGCTAATGTTTTGGTGTTGTCACTGATATTCTTTTTAAACTACCTTGGTTTAATTTTGGTCTATGGCCACATCTAGCTATGTAATACTTGATAAAATCTGAATTTTAAATAGCTTGTCTGGTTTGACAATATTTACTCTTTTGATAAAAAAATATAGTGTGCTTTATGGCTTACTTGCATCACTGTTCTGTGCACTTCAATAGATTTTCCAAAGGCATTAAAAATATATTTTCCTTTCCTCCTCCAACCTATGCCACCCAGCATTTATAGAAAATATACCTCATCTTTGCAAACATCTGGATTTTAGCACTGATGAGTCCAGTGTGAAGATTCTTATTGGGTCTTTATTAAACCTAATGGAAGATCCAGACAAAGATGTAAGAGTGGCTTTCAGTGATTGCATAAAGAACATACTAGAATCCTTAGACTCTGAAGAAGGATTCATAAAAGAGGTGAATTCATATTTCTTTTTCGTTGTTTTTCCTAACTTACTATGGTTTTTGTTTCACTGATGTCAAACACTCTCGAATTACTATTTTTTGTTTTCATGTGTTCTAGCTATTTGTTTCAAGAATGAAAGAAGCTTATACAAATGCCAAAATATCAAGAAATAATGAGCTTAAAGATACCTTGATTCTCACAACAGGAGATATTGGAAGGTATTTTTGACAGTATCTTGAAAATTCAAAGTAGTGTCAGTTTGTGATGCAAAGTAACTTTTTTGTTCAAGTGTAAATGTAAGATTAAATTACTTAATTCAAGGTCAGCCGTTGCCCAGAGTCCTTTGCAACTGTACTAAGCTGTTGATTCATATGGAATATTCCTCATTTTCTTCTGCCCTGTCATAGGAACTATGGATAAGCTATGCAAATACAGTGATCAGTCATTTTGCATTATGGTGATTGTATATTCTTAAGTAATTTTGTTAATGCAACGATTCTTTTTTCCTTTTTAATTCTTTTTCTTCTGCTTACTTTGTAAGGGCATCAAAAGGAGATTTGGTACCGTTTGCCCTCTTGCATTTGTTACACTGTTTGTTGTCCAAGTCAGCTTCTGTGGCTGGAGCAGCATACACAGAAATTCGATCCCTGGCGGCAGCTAAGTCCATAAAACTGCAAGCTTTTTTCAGTCAGTACAAGAAACCTATCTGTCAGGTAAAAAGAAAAGAGTTGGTGGTTTAGAAAAGCATATGTTTAGGTTCTTTTTGTGTATTTTGAAAATGGTATTAAAGGTAAAAATTACAGTATTTTACAAAAATTTTATAGGATGACAGAGAGATGATTTTAAAAAACAAGGAGGACCCCACAAACATTCAGGAAGGAATGGGAAATCTTTGACTTTGTCATGATCTTCTCCCCTTGACAGTATTGCTTTTCTTTTTTATTTCCTGTATGCTGTTGTTCTGAAATAGAGGATCTATATAGTTTCTTGCATTGTGTGGTACCATTGCCACAAGAGGCTTTGATTTTAATATTGGAATTGAAGTCAACATTTACAGTCATTATACAGACATGATTGATTTGTTCTTTTGTTAAACCCATTACATAAAGACAGAAGTTCTGTTTAAAAGAAAATTATCAAAACCAGACTTTTCTAATTTTGAGTATTTTTTTAATAATGCAATGTCTGAATCCAGGGTTACAAAATTAAATGCACTTATTAAGTAGATGATAATCCAGTCCTGTTGCAAAGTAATAATCATAGATCTATGTGCAATAAATGAGAAAGGATAACAGATGCATAGAAAGAGGAGTGAAGCTCTTGTGTTTATTTTTAGGGAGCGAAAAAGGGGTAAATAATACTAAATATATATTTCTTCATGCTTAGTTTCTAGTGGAATCCCTGCACTCCAGCCAGATGGCAGTATTGAGTGCTCCATGCCAGGGTAATGAG